GACATTGAACTTGGGCTTTTCAATGATTTGATGAAAACTGGTAATGATTTTCTTGGATTATGATATTTTTCATGATAATTAACAGATTTATTAAAAACATGTTTGATGGGAGGTTTTCTGATCAGTCTGAGCACTCTTTCAAGCTTTGCTCTTAGGTATCAGTGACTTGTCCTGACAAATGAAGTAGACCGGAATTTTACAACACTAGATTCAGATGAAAGTTTTAATAAGACTTAACGGGAAGGTTCTTTCCTCTTTCCAAACTCAGTTAAACACTTAGAAAAGCTAATTCCAAAAATGTGGGGTCTGAAAATGCAGCTATAATCCTTCTCCTCCATACTCTACATTAATTATGAAAATTCTTGTTTGTTGTTTGATCTTGTTAGGACAGGTGAGGCAGGTCACAAGGCAGTGATCTTGAGTCTGTCAGGGATCTCTGCATCTAGCAGCAAACAGGAATGTGTTTTCTTTCCAGTTAAACATCATGCTCCTCTACTACTTCATCTGTCACCACTACAATCAGGGAAATGGGTTCATATAACTTCGGAGTGGCAGGGCAGAAATTGCCACCTGTGCTTGACCGGATGACAAGGGCTGCTTATATCCAGCACAAAAGTGGGTTGAGTGTCTTCAAACATTCATTTTTCTGCTGTACTGAGCAGTGATGCTGGGGAAAGAGCAACCTGAGAGATCTACCCATACAGATGGGCTCTGCAGCTCGTTCGGACTCTGCTTCCCAGTCATGTAATGTATCCACAGTCCTCGGGAGAGGACCTTACAGAGGGAGGGAGTGAAAGCAAGGACCATTTATGTGAACAGAGCCATGAATTTGGAGATCTCTTCCCGCCTAAGAAGAGACGCAGCTCTTGGGCTGGCACAGACAGGGCCTCGTGCTGGCATGTAACAGTGCAGACATTCCTCTGTGAAGCGCAGACCAGAACTCCAAGGCTCTGAGTGACATCCCTGGGCACCATCTCACACGTCCTTCTCCTTCTTCCTCTCCTTCAGGGAACAACAGCGTGTCAGCAACAGTAGGTAGCAGCCACATGCTCACCTGCCCTACCAGATCAAATATAGCTATGGTAACATGGAAAATAAGCCCCAAGGATGGAGGCCCCTGCACCTTGGGGTACAGGGCTGACCAGAACAAGACAGACAGAACAAACTGCAGCAGCAGCATGAACTGGAAAGACATACCAGATCGGGATCCTACCCTTGAGATACGGCAAGTAGGAATAGCCCATGAGGGAAATTACACCTGTGAAGTAGTAGCACCAGAAGGGAGTTTCCACGAGACGTACCACCTGACTGTGCTAGGTAAGAGACTCCTTCCTCATTTTTCAGCTCTCCAAAGGACTGTGTCTGGGCCTGGACATACAAAGCTCCTCATCCCATGCACCGGAGGACATACTGATCCAATATACTAAAAAGAGGATTCTGCATATGCATCTGGTTGTCCTGTAGAAATCAATTGTTAATCCACTAATTTAAGACAACTAAAGCATGTGACAGTAACTCTTCTAAGTGCTAAGATATTCTATCAAATATGGGATGTTCTTATCCAGACGGTAGGAACGGACTCATTTCCTCTTATGCTGGCATTCAGATACACTTTAAACCACGTGTACGATGGCTGCATAGGGCAAAAGTCTAATTCAGCCCTGTATTTGGGACAATTCCCTACTGCAATGTCAAGGGATGCCTCCTCTAATGGTACGTGGCTGTGGTAACTCACCTGAATGGGGGAAGGGTTGTCCAAAAGGACAAAAAGAGGCAGGATCTTTGTCTGTCGTGACTTTGGCCCATGTTGCTGTAATGGGATGGCACCACCAACCTTATTCTCCTCTTTTCACTGTGTTCATTTTGAGCCGACAACAAGAACATCCTATCCCAACTATGGCAAACTAACTCCATGCATCTCCCCTTCCTGATGCTTTGCAGTCCCCCCCAGGCTGACCCTGTACTGTGATGACCACGGGAACCCCGTGTGCAAGGCAGCGGCAGGGAAGCCAGCTGCTCAGATCTCGTGGGTCCTAGAGAGCAACTCCACCTCCAGTGAAGAAGGCCATGACAACGGGACAGTGACTGTTCTCAGGAAGTTCACAGCATACAGCACCAATGTGAGTAATGCAACCTGCATTATGTCCCACCCATCTGGGAACCAGAGCAAGTCCATAGCCTGTCATCTCTCAGGTAAGTTTCCCTTTGTGCATTGGGAGTTCAAAACCCCTTTAGCCCTGTGTTCATGCACTAAGACAGACATCACTGGCACTGGCAGGATTGCAGCAGGAACTGTGCAGCTGAGCTGAAGTTTCCAG